CAATAAATAATAAATATGTAGGAGATTAAATTATTTATTATATTTTTATACTTTTATTATAATAATAATGACTTGAATGGTCACTTTTTTTTTTTTTTAATCGAAAAAATTGTAAATAATGGCTATTGTTAAGACAGTTATGCCAAATTAAATAGCTTAAACAACATTTTTAAACCCGCCAGTCTATGACACTAGAATATAATTAGACAGAAAGTCCTATGCCTTTATAAATGGTGAAGGTTGTTAGAATATAATAAYTTTTCACCATCAGTAATGACAAATTTGAAAATTTTGAGAGGTACGTGGATTATGAACACATTATACGTGGTATTTTTAATCTGAAAAATGGTTTCTATTGTTCAAAAATTGTGTGCAAATTAGTTGTAAAAAAGGTAAATGTGGGCAAACTGGTTGTAGCCGGGACGCTAGTCTATAGCACTGTACTTCGGTCTTCGACTTATTGTTTGTTCCTATACAAAGACTAATTTTCTTTGTATTTATTGTTTACAGATGAAACAAAATAAAATGTTATCAAACAGAATGGAAAAAGAAGTATACTCTCGTAAACAAGCTCTGCTAATGTTATTGTTTAAAATTTGCGAACACTGTTTAACGCCAAACAAGGAGAATAACACGATTGAAGAAGTAATAAAAAAATTAAATGATAAGAACCTTGAAAACATAATTAACTTAACATTATACAAAAAATAATAAGTWAAAGTCGTTATTATAGCTATTTAAAAAAAAAACGCCGGAAATAAGGCCAATAAGGGTGCATCTCTTATAATTGAAGGGACATTATTATTAAAATAGTTTTAAACTGTAGTACCTATAATTTTAACAAACCAGTTAATGCAATTAATTAAAATGGTTCGAAAAATATCMAAATAGTATTAAATATTGAAGTCAATTAATGAGAAATGCAATCTGTTTTGATCAGTAGAAGTACTTATACAGTAGACAGTAAATAGATAATGTTCATATCACATATTATATTTTCATAGCGTCCACAGTAGTTATTGCAGKTACCACATAAGTAGTTTTTATTATTTCAATTATTTCAACTGATCTTAGACTYTGAGTGGAGCGATAAATATATTGGTTTTACAATGATACGTGTATTATTATTATTTTTTGGGTGTGTGAGTGTGTCTCAGTACACGATAAGTTGTCAAAATAATGTATCAATTTTCAACTTCAGTAGCTTTTCCGTTGGAAAGTACATCTAGTTGGTATATTGGGAGTTTAAATTAAGTAAGGTAATTAGTTTTCAAAAGTTTCGGTAAAAAAAAAAAAAAATTAACCTAAAACGAGAATTTGAACGCAAAATTAGTTTTTGAGAAAATCGATTTTAAATATTGGTGTAAATCTACAACAAATTACTGTAGACACATGCAATTTTCAYTGATTATTTAAACTGGAATTTTTCTGTTCTTGATAAAATTTTCAAAATAATTTAATTTTTTTTAAGTAATTTATAGACAATTTCAATTTTCTGATTTTTTTCTATAAATGTTAATAAAATTTTATTCGWTGGGTAAAAAATCTTACTGTTTTCATGCCAGAATGTCAACTTAAATAAAACTATGTTGTTCTTTTCAGGCCGAATGTCTGTTTAACTTAGTGGACGGTATTGGACGAGACTTGGAACAAGAATTTCCGGACACGTTAAAACAATTGTACGTATCCATTAGGGACGTAATGCTGACACAAGACTGTTCGGCACATGTAAAAAAGACCCTCTTGCATCTTATTGAACTGAAAGCGTCGCAATGGATCCTWCCACCTTCTACAATACATTACTACAACTCGAAAACAAACATTTAGCGTCTTATTTTTACTTACCATTGAGACAACACGTTTAATATTATTTAAATAATAATATTATGTTTAATTGTGACAGTTCTTGATAAAAATTTTGTATATTATTTTTGATTTGTTATATAACTAATATATTATATATACCTATAAATATATATAATTTACAAGGTCTATTTTACTGAATTATTTAATCTATAATTTTTACAAAATACAATCAATTTATACTTAATTCAGTATTATATCAAAGGTATCCAATAATAATTACCTACAGCATAATCATATTCGATTAAATAATTTGGCAGAGTTTATAGGTGTCCTAACCTAACCTACCTGACCTTACTACCGTCGGATACATCTACATATTTTGTCTGGAAACACTGACTAACGAAAAATACGCTCCATCAAGTCTGCCATCTCAATACACCGCAATTTCGTGGTTGACTATTTTACTTTACAATGTCTTATATTATTTGTTTTTTTTTCAATTTTCAACATTATATAAAATAGATGATAAGCTGAACACTATTAGTGAGCCCCGGAGGACAAAACGCACGCCAAACCAACAGAATATCATAGTCAACATCTTAAGACATTTCGTAGTAATGTATACCTACAAGACTCTAACCATGTTTCATTTTGCCACCCACGATGCTCGAATAATATTATTGTTTTGTCGTATTCGAAATTCTTCAAACCACCTCTATACTAAAAAGATTCCTCTCGCACCACAACATCTGCGTCACAATTATTATATCCATGCTTCGGTCACCTCGTGATTCGTTCATGCCCCAATRGATCTAGACATATCAGGGCATTAACACCGTTCCTAAATTTATACATAATAATAGTTATGGTTATTGTATAATACAAAATACTTATCTAATATCTAACAATATAATTGGCATGTATATCACAACATTAAACATGGAAACGTTTTATATTTTAATTTTAATGAAAGATTAGAAACTTTATATAAGAATTTTTTTGTCCTTAAAATAGGAGTAAATTTTAATAATACTTATGACCTGTATAATATACGTTAACGTTATTTTTAATCTTATGTTGGAACTTAATTTGATTTTAAATTATAATAATATCACATATTTCATTTATTAAGGCTTAAATTATATATTATGCAGTAATTAGTGACCATATTCTTCTGATTAATAAGTAATAATAATATAGCAATACTATATTTTTCCCTGATTAACATTAAATGATCTCCTCAAAAATTCAAAAAAAATTGTTCTCATGTCTACATACTAAGGAATATCTGTAACAAAAAATGTCCACATATAACGTTAAATATGTACTAATTGTTGGTACTTTATACTCGGTACATTATATATAGTGGTCTGATACTAAAGTAATAAAATATAAAAATATATTGTAAGTGAACTACGAAACAGGTAGGCAAATGTGGCCCAATATCCGATTACATGAAATGCAGCTACATTGAATATTCAGATGACATTCAGATGCATACATTGGTTATAACCAGGACTTAACCGTTTCTCACCAACAGGTCGTACTAACTAATTACCAAATGCTCATAAATAAATCACGTTTGAGTACCATCTGTTGAACTCTTGAACTACATCTGTAATAATTTCGTTTGATTTCAAACTATTTTACTAAATAATATTATTTAACCATCAAATTAGCAATTCCTCGAGGTCATTAAATATAGCAATAATATAACAACCACCCAGTGGCCAGTAATGGTGTCAGGTTTAACAGATMAAATACTAAATAATAATAATAAATAGTAAAAAAAAAAACAGCAAATGGATTAATCTTTATGTGTTATTGTGTATACTGTATTATAATATATTATACACATGTAAATATATAATCAAACATTTAAATAATAAATTTGGACATTTCGCTGTTTGGAAAAATTATACCACACAAAACAATTTCCAACAATTGTTATAATTTAAATTACTTAAAATATAAATAATTAATCACTAAATAATATAAATAAACATAATGGAATATGGGTATCGATTGGAATCCAGCAGTAATAACGGACAATCATCGATCTTTATCACCTTCTAGATTTTGGATGGTTTTAACAATAACTGTGACATTACATGCAAAGTTAATAATATTATATAACTACGAACAATATCAAAAACTAAAACATACTATTAGTTGTCGAATGAGTGAGGAGATACTGCTGAAATGTTGATTTGCATAATATAATATAGTATTTACTATTTACAGTATAATAAAAAAGAAAAGGGTATTCAACGATTTAATTGTTTTTTTTTTTTTTTAATTTTGAATTCTCAACAATTTTTAGGAACTAAGATTATACGATTCGCTACTCATTTTTGTTTCATTCCACAATWACATAATTGAGCTTTATACGAAATTGGAATCTCTAATCCATTATTTACACATATTATGATAAATAAATACACAAATAAAAACACACACACATTACACGAATAATAATAATATAAAACTACGGATTACATTTTAGCGGGATTTTATCTAATGTCTTCTTTGGATAAGTCTAAGTCTTCTTCAACGATCGGACTGTCGTCAGTCATCGCTGGAACGATTCTCGCTTCGATTAGCGTCACCCGTTCACTGGACTGTTGCGTTTGCTCGCCAGGATGGTCCTCACCGAACGTCAGTGGAATGTACCTCTTGGGACTCTCGTCGATTTGAACGTTGACAACTTGTTCTGATGTCTTGTTTTCATTGAATAAAAACCTGGAAAAACGTGTCCAGTAAAAATTAAGTTGCTGTAATTATTATAACTGATTAACGCGTCATAAAATATAGCATTTATAACAATATAATATCATTGTTGATCCTAGGGGAAAATATATCAAGAGAAAAATGTCCAAATAAAAAGTTAGATAAAAATCTTTAAAAAATGTTAAAAGTTATAGAAGTCACGCATATCAAAGAAACTCAAAGCTTATATGTTAACCTAACCTATATTAAGACTAGATTCTGATTTTCCGTTGACTGTTTTGGCTTTGGCCAATGGTTTTGAGTAGTTTTCACTATTGAAATAATTGTTCTTGAAGGTTTAGTTATTTTTATAATAATAATTATAATAATTATAATATTGTTTATGTTGTAAATTTAAAAGTGGATATTGACTTGTCAAAAAATTAAAGTTAAGTTAAAAAGTTWATTTGTAAGCTTTTAAGTAGTTAATTATTGTTGTATTTGACTTATTGAATTATACTCAGATAAAGTTGTTATTATCGTCATTTAACTATTTATAGTTAAATATAATTATTGTTCAATTAAATTAGTTTTATATTAGTATCATGCATTCATTCGGAAGTTAATATTTTATCTAGCAATAGTCTAAATAAACTATATAAGTCCTATTCRAATATATTTTAGGCAATCGAATAAAAATTTCCCAAAAAACACTAAATAATAGATCTGATAAGCAATTAAACAGTACTTACTATGGTTATTATCACTATTTTTTTTTTTAATTTTGACGAGCTATGTATAGATTTTTATTTTCAACCCTAAGTTTATCAAAAATGKATTCTGAAYMCTTTTTTTATTTAGAAATAACTTAAACATGATTCTCAAACAATAATAATAATCGCTGTATGAATATTAATTTACAATGTTATAAAATACTACGATTAATTATTTATTAT